AATAAGCTCCTTAATTTCAACTGTGACATAACTAAAGTGGATTAAATCTGATACATAGTAATTGTTAGATGAGTCTGTTTTAAAAAAACTAATAGGAAGTAATGACTTTCCTCTAACATACCTAGTGATAAGGCCCTTACCTAATGGAAAAGCCACTTTGCAGGAGGACAGTAAAGAGTGATCTGGATTCATTAATATCATTCTCCTTCACAGGATAAACCAAAGTCATATCAGGTTTAGCAAGGTTAAAACCTATTTTATTTTCATTCCTGACTGATAGAAACAATTTACTTGTTGTTAATTACATTAAGAAATTCACAGATCATTCTAATATTGCTATTAGGGGTAAGTGCTATACTACAAATGTACAAATCCAGAGCAGATTCTGTTCGTCAGCTTTGAAAGTTTCAAAAATGTATTTTTCCGTCAAGGAGGTTGTTGTTGTTGCTGTTGTTGTTTTTAAGTACTATCAAGTTGACTCTGACTCGTAGTGACCCCGTGTACAACAGAAAAAACATTCCCCAGCCCTGCGCCATCCTCACCACCCTTGCTATGTATGCTTGAGCCCATCGCTGCAGCCACAGTGGCAATCCATCTTGTAGAGAGTCTTTTTCACTGACCCTCTGCTTCTCCAGAGACTGGTCCTTCTGATAACATGACTAAAGTAAGTGAGACAAAGTCTGGCCATTCTCGCTTCTAAGAAGCATCCTGGCTGTACCTCTTCCAGGACAGATTTGTCCCTTCTTCTGGCAGTCCATGGTATTTTCAGTATTCTTCACCAACACCACAATTCAAAGCCATCAACTCTTCTTCAGTCTTCATTATTCATTGTCCAGCTTTCACATGCATATGAGGCTAATGAAAATACCATGACTTGGGTTGTTGTTGTTGTTATGTGCCATCAAGTCGGACCTGACTCAGAGCAACCCCTCCTTGGGTTTCTGAGGCAGTAGCACTACAGAAGTAGATTGCCCAACCTTCTTTGCGAGGAGTGGCTGGTGGGTTTGAACCGCCAGCCTTCTGGTTAGCAGTCAAGTGCCTTAGGCACTGTGCTTGGGTGCACCT